TAAAGATTGATTGATATAAATTAAAATTAATAAAAATATTATTAATTAAATTCCTTAAAAAAATTATTTATTTTTATATAAATAATTTTCAAACACATTAATTCAAAAAAATAGTGATCTCAATTCACTAAATTTTTGAATGACATTTGGTTATACCTAATTTTTGTGAAGTAAGTAAGTGGGGTAGCGAAAATAAATACAGGATTTGAGGGCTATTTCTTGCAGTGATTAGATTAAGAATTAATTTCTAAATTTTTCCTAAGGAAAAAAGAATGAATTAATTATTCATTCATTCTAACAGAATGAAAATTTTTTTACAGTGGGGATTTAGAAATTTCTACCACACTCATTATAAGATTTTGATACAATTTTTGAAATTTGCATTCAAATTAAATTTTTTTCAAAAAAATTTTAAGAAATTTTTGATTCCCATATATAAAAATTAATGATATTTTGTTTTTTTATTAGTTGCTTCAACTTCATTCATTATTAATTCTAGTTTTTCTATTTCTTTTTATTACAGGTTGTATAGTTTTGTTGGGAGTCCTCTTATATTCCAGAGGTAATTTGTGAAAGTAATTATTTATAGTTATTTATTTCGTTATATATTTTTTTTTATGTTTAAGGGTATTTTTATTAAATTTCATTTATTGAATTATCATTAGTTTGATATTGATGATTAAGTTGTTGATAATTAATTTGTTGTGGTTTTAAATGTCACATTGGTTGTTTGAATTTTCTATTATGTTTGCTAACATTTCTTGGTTGTTTTCGATGTACTCATTATTTTGTTAATTTGTTGTTTTATCATTTGTTCCTTGTATTCTTTTTCTATCTTTTTTATCATTGCTATTACTTTGGATCTGTCGTTTTCTTTAGTTTATTTTTTTGTATGATGTACTGACGATGAAGTGAAGTTTAATTTTCTTATTTGGGGTCTGAACCATTTAAGTTTTTTTTGGGTCTTCCTCTTGCTTTTTTTTCGGTATTACAGCAAGTTTCATCTTCATCACTGTTTTGACATGTTTTTCCTCTTGTTGATAGATTTGCTTATGAATTTAGTTATATGCTATTTTCTAGAATATTTTATTATTTTAAAAAGAATTCCTTCTCTGTTTTTCTTTACATTTATTCATTTATCAGATCTTCACTTTCTTATTATAAATTATTCAGAATTTTGTTTTTATTTTTTTTGTTGTTGTCTAAGTGTAATATTTCTGAATATTCCAGTCTGAAGTTAAGAGGTTATTATTATTTTATAAATTCACTTTCATTTTCATCTATCATTCTTGATTTTAAATTTAATTTACTTTTTCTAACTGTTATTTTAATTAATTAATTTCTTATTTTTTAAATTTTTTAAATTTTCACTTTCTACTTCCATATTATTGAAATTTGAATTATTTAAATAATTGGTTGAGTTAAGCAGTTTTTTACTTGTGGGAGTCACAGTTTTTCCTTCTTTTTGTTTTAGTAAAATTTCTTTCATCCCACCATTATTTGGATTGAGAAACCCGTCAATCATTTTTTTTCTATGTCTTCATCTGTTTTAGTGGAGCCTTAATCTTGAGTTTTCCATATTTTTAGGTTATTTATTTGATTTATTATTCATTTAGGTATAGAAATCCATTTAAATATAATTTTATCAATTCGTACTTTTCTATTTTTTCTTCTGTGATTTCTTTTTTATGCATGAAGGAAAGTAGTTTGGTAT